GTCAGTAACGCAGTAATTACGACGCATTTTTAAACCCAGAATCAAGATGTGGGTTTCCTAAAAATTCTAATTGCAGGAAGCCTGAAAAAAGATCCAGTATCCACATATATGACGTCATTTATGGACTCAGCTTTGCGGGCATTCTATGAGCAGAGAGGACGCAGCGGTAACAGCTCAAATACTCCAGCTGCGTCCTGCGCGCGGCCGCTGTTATATTCACAAAATCGCTCCACCACAACAAAGTCATTCGTTTGCGATCGTTTATATCCGCCCCTATTCTCTGGTACTTCATGTACTTTTCAGCTGAGTTCATAGTCTGTGCCCCGGTGATTTCAATTCATTGCTGCTGGAGTGCAGCGCATGTTAAGCGTTCGGTAGATCCCTTTGGGTGATTAGTTAGAAAGTAGGAAATCTAGGAAACAATTTTTCTGGAAGATGGAGAAAACATGCAGCATGCAGGAAGGTTAGAGAGAGAAAGGACCGGAAATTATTCAAATAAAATCAAGAAAACTAAACAAAATGCTTGAAAAGAAAAAGTAGTTAGATTTGTCCCCAATACACATTTTTACCAGTGAAAAGCAATAATATATAAGCATTTAATATTTATACATGTGATAGAATCAGATCACCCCAGAAATCAGTCCCACATCCAGGGCCGTATCAAGGCATTTGGGGACAAAGGCAAATATAGGCTTGGAGCCCCCACCACCTCACTCCCTGCTCAGTTAATCTAAGATGGCAGCGTGCTGAGAGTACAGATTGTTGTTGCTTTTATTTAATAAACAATCATTTTAAAGCACTGTTATTATATCTGACTGTTAACGGTAATCCTAGCTCAGACACCACATCACCTTCCACATATATGTCATGAGCTCACTGAGCGTCACATGACCAGATTCATACTGAAGTTGTTTTGGTGAAAGTAACTTAAAGTAATGCAAAAGTAGTGTAATGCCTTACATTTTAAAATCAGTAATATTGTAATGTAATGAATTACTTTAAAATGAGGGTAACAAGTAATAAATAATGCATTACAGTTTTGAAGTAACTTGCCCAACACTGTTATTAAGCATGTTAATAGGCGGCGGTGGCACAGGAGTTAAGCGCTCGCCCCGTAATCGGAAGGTTGCAGGTTCGAGCCTCGCTCAGTCTGTCGCTGTCGTTGTGTCCTTGGGCAAGACACTTAACCCACGTTGCCTGCTGGTGGTGGTCGGAGGAACCGGTGGCGCCAGTGCTCGGCAGCCTCGCCTCTGTCAGTGCGCCCCAGGCCAGCTGTGGCTACATTGTAGCTCATCCCCACCAGTGTGTGAATGTGTGTGTGAATGGGTGAATGACTGATTGTGTTGTAAAGCGCTTTGGGGGGTTCCAGGACTCTAGAAGGCGCTACATCAAATACAGACCATTTACCATTTACCATCTTATATCAGAGACGTTTTATGGAAACGTGGTGCTGATTTGTCTGAGGCAACACACACACACACACACACACACACACACACACACACACACACACACACACACACACACACACACACACACACACACAGGTGATAAACATGCTGGTTAACAAACACCGTTAGACTGATATTTGTAATAGTTAAAGCTTCCCACAGACACAGGGTCTACAGACTCTCTCTGAGTTCACGTTAAACTCGTTTCTTTGTGCGACTGAATAAAAACAAAGCAAGCTGCTGTTTGTGAGCAGCGTTCAGCTTCGATCTGGTGCTGTGAGCGTCCCGGGGACCGTCAGCTCGGTGCACGTTCAGGACTTCAGCTCAATCTGGGTTGTATTTTTCACAGCCCAATATGAGAGCTGAGTGTAGCTTAAATAACAGTTTATAAAGCTGTCGCAGAGCTGATGGTGTGGACAATACGGGTGACGTATTACTGGCTGACAGAAATCAAATTCCATAAAAATGAAATTGAAAACCCTCGGTGAGGTGGCCTTGCTGCTGAGCAGACAGCCCGTTTTAAAGTTTTCAGAGGACCGAGGGGAGCCGGATCGCCGTTGCCGCTCGGCTGGTAGCTGATGTGCTGATTTAATTTTTCTGATGAGTAATTTAGAGGAACAAACAACCTGAACATGGTCACACAACAACATTGTTGATATTATACTGTACAAAAAGACAGTGATGCTTAATCGTCAGAGGAAACGGTGCCTTAATGTGGGATTAAATGTAGGTTTAATCCCAGAACGTTTGTGTTCATCTAAAACAAGACTACAGATGCACTGATTGTGGTGTTTAAGGCCGATGCCGATTTCTGAACCAGTCAAAGAATTAAAAGAATGGATTTAAAAAAAAGATTTTTTATTCACGTGAAAATTGTAATTCTGTAAATTCTGTCACTGCTAGCTTGAATTAGCCCTGACTGATGATGAGTTTATGGACCAGAACGCATGTCGGCTACTTTTTTATTGCTGCTGCATGTTTGAGTTTCAGACTAGAAGATTCTAGCCATCATAGTGAAAATCAGCTGATTTCCAAACCAGACCACATCTAACATCACCTCTGTTGGAGAATAAAACACAAATAGAATACCTTAAAGTTTTCATCTATTATTTATTGACCTATTTCATATATTTCCATTTCTGGACATTTTGTTTGTGAGGATCAGTTTTACGGTTTATCACTAATTTTGTGACTTTATTCCCAGATTAAAAAACTCCAGATGAATCACGGCAGGAACTTTCCTCTGTGGACGTGATCCGGCGGCGTGTCTGAACCGAGCCCAACAGAACAAACAGTTCTGCTGATCAGAACTGAAATCATTTACCTCAAACCTAACCATTGTTGTATTAAAATAAACACCCCTAAGCAGCTCAACTGTAAAGAAATCTGAAAACTTTTTTATTTTCTTCCATTCATCAATTTTCAGCCGCTTATCCAGGGTCGGGTCGGGGGTCAGCAGCCGTAGCCGAAAGGCCCAGACTTCCCTGTCCCTAGCCACTAGGGTCAGCTCCTCCGGGGGAATCCCAAGGCGTCCCCTGGCCAGCCGAGAGACACGGTCCCTCCAGCGTGTCCTGGGTCGTCCCTTGGGCCTCCTCCCGGTTGGACGTGCTCGGAAAACCTCCCCAGGCAGGCGTCCTATCTAGATGCCCGAGCCACCTCAACTGGCTCCTCTCGATGTGGAAGAGCAGCGGGTCTACTCCGAGCCCCTCCCGAATGACCGAGCTTCTCACCCTATCTCTAAGGGAGAGCCCAGCCACTCTTCGGAGAAAACTCATTTCGGCCGCTTGTATCCGCGCTCTCGTTCTTTCGGTCGCTACCCAAAGCTCATGACTATAGGTGAGGGTAGGAACTTAGATCGACCGGTAAATATTATTTTGTTGTTTAGCAAGAAATCTATTATGAAATCAGTCATTGGGTTTGTGACAATAATAATTATTATTGTTATTATAATTATTATTATTATTCAGTCTTATTTATTTATGTATAAAATAGTAAATGTAATTCCGTAACATAAATAAATAAAACAGCCATCACCACCTGTAGACCCTCCACCAGGGGGCAGCAGACATGTATAGGACTGGACTTGGCAGGTTCTTGGTGAAGGTGCTAATCCTGGTGCTTTAAAGGGACAGTGTGTCTTTCCCCTGGCAATAGGGGGCAGTACATACCTAAAGCACTGCAAGCAAGCATTACGTTTGTGTTCAAGTAAGACCTTACGGATGGCCATTAGGCTGAAAAATCCCTGGGAGCACAGCCTCAAGCAACAACAACAACGTTTATTAATGGTGAAAGTTTTGTAACCAAATGTTACAAATCAGTAAACGCATTTTGTCCTCACAGGCTTCCATAGTAGGAAACATGGCATCCAATATGGCGTCGCCTAGAGACTTAGACCCGCTCCATGTATTTTAGACCAGATTTTTATGGTTCTATGTTATGAAACTGCCAATATTTTTCAACAGCTGGGCACTTTTTTATTCATTTACAAAAATATTTCAGGGATTAATGGTAAAAAGTACACATTGTCACTTTAAGGCAGGGGTGTCAAACTCCAGTCCTCGACGGCCGGCATCCTGCATCTTTTTGTTGTTTCCCTGTTCCAACACAGTTGCTTCACCTGTGCAGCAGCTCATCAGGCTCTCCAGAAGCCTGTTAATCACCAGCTGGTTGATGTAGGGAAAACACCAAAACGTGGGATAGCGACTATTACGTCCCCGGTTCTCTAGGAGAGATGAGGAGGGGAGTAATAAAATCAGTGTGTGGGTTAAACAATAACAGAGTGCAGTGTCGCTTAAAAAACAAGGATTTATTACAAAAAATGAGGGAATATTTACAAAGTACCTAAAAAGCAATATTATATACAAAACGAAAGGAGCAATATTTAATAAGGAGAAACCAAAAACGCCGACCCAGAAGGGGATGGGAGTAAACAACCGAGAATATATTATTTACACCAAAGGGGAGATCCAAAGCCTAAGTCCAAATGCCGGTCCGAAGTCAAATTGCCAAAAAAGTCTTATCCAATATCCAAAATCCTAACGAGAGTAACCAAAGACGAACGTGCGAACGAGTTTTACCAAATGAGCGAACCGAGGAGAAGAGAACTGTGCAAACTGTTGCCAGTCTACTCTGCCCTTGGACCTTCTCCCTGAACTGGTGGCTGGAAGCAGCTTTTAACTGCTGCCAAGTGATCATCACTGATTTGGAACAGCTGGGCACCGGGAGACAGGCGAGACAAAGGCCACTGAGGCCATCTTGTGGCCAAATAGGGGCAAGGCACATAACAGCGACCCTCGACGACCGCAGTTTGACACCAGGGCTTTACGGCCAGAAGTAGCTTCATTAGGATTTTTGATGTTGCTCTGGAAGGATTTGACGTTTATTTTGATAAATCACAGTCTGTGTCGGCAGGTCGGCCCTGCACTTACAACCCTGAGAACCAAAATCGGTCTGCCTCTATAAGAAACAGATCTTTGGTCAAAGCTGTGAAACGCAGAGGTCTGATGCGGTTTGGGAAAGTAAATATGTTGGTTCTTTGTTGGTTTGAAGCAGATGTCCCATGGAGACGGGTGCCTGTCTGGACACAGCATGACGTCCCAGTACCGGATGCACCCGTACCACCCAGGACACGCCTACCTGACCCAGGGGCTGGCCTCCCCCACCTGTGTGCCTCCTTTCAGCCTGAATGACAACAGCTTCGCTGAGACTATGGGTCCCTGTGAGTGACACACAAACACTTACCAGGCCTCATAAAGTTTTACCCACAGTTTATCAAAAGAACATCAAAGGGAGGGGTGCGTTCACTACTAGAGACTCATAAAATTCCCTTTTTACTCGTGAGAAACTTTACTGCAAACTGCAAAACTTTAAAGCTGAATTCTGGTGTTTGAAAAAAGAAAAAGGAAGCCAAAAGCACAGCTTTGTTTCTTTTGATGATGTTCGCAGCTGATCTGATCTCGGATTTCTGCAGCAGCTTCTTTCTGGAACTCTCGTTTTCCAAATCTCAGATGAGAATCTCAGCACAGCAGCGCTGGTTGCCTGGATTTTATGCCCTCTTGTTATGGTGAACGTGGGTAAATCAGATCGAGCTCATTGCTTAATGTGTTTGGTAAAGATTTTAGGTGAGCACATTAGAGAGAGCGAGACTCAGGGCGGTCGAGCATGAAGCAGGAAGAGAAGAAGAGGAAACGGGGCTGGCTTGTTCGATTATAACATCTTTGTCCTACACCAGGGCTGTTCAAGTTCGGGCCTGGAGGGCCGGTATCCAGCACGTTTTAGTGGTTTCTCTGCTCCAACACACTAGATTCAGTGGATGAGTCACCTGTGCAGCAGCTCATCAGGCTCAGCAGAAAGCTGTTAATCAGCTGCTGATTGAAATCAGGTGTGTTGAAGCGGGGTTAAAACTAAAACATGCTGGATTCCGGCCCTCGAGGCTCTGTCCTACACTTTGGCTTCAGTTACATTTCCAGTCTCCTGCAGCAGATACAGAGCTAATATCAGCTACGTTTCACCCTTTTGCAGACGTGTTTGCTCACCGGTTTCACCGTTACTTCTGCGACGCCGTAGCAGGCGTCGGGGCTTTTATCTCCTTCCTCTGTAGAATAATTTGATGTTATTTCAGGTATGAATAAATAAAATAAAGCAATAAAACCAGGTATCCGAAAGCGAGGGCAGTAGAACGAAACAACTGCAGGCTATAAAGAACACCCAGTGTCTGGGATGAAAACATAAATGCTCCAAGATATGAAAGAAGTTTAGATTTGGGTTAAAATATTCAGACAATCAAACAGTTCAAAGTTAAACTCCAGCACGATCTTTTACGCCAGGATTAAAGGTGAAATGTGAAGATTGAGCTTTTTAACAGAAATGGTACATGGCCTGTGTGTGTATAGCACCTTCGTAGGGTTCTACAACCCCCCAAGGCACTTCACAACACGGTCAGCCATTCACCCGCTGGTGGTGATGAGCTTCGATGTAGCTGCAGCTGCCCTGGGGCGCACTGACAGAGGCGAGGCTGCCGAACACAGGCGCCACCGGTCCCTCTTACCACCACCAGCAGGCAAGGTGGGTTAAGTGTCTTGCTCAGGGATACAACAACAGCATTCTCTAGTAGGAGCCAGGATCGAACCTGCAACCATCTGATCACTGGTCTAAGGTTGGGCATCGTTTGATTTTGAACGATTCCAATTCCTCGTTTCGATTCCGGTTCCTATCGATTCCCGATTCCGATTCTTTCTAGACATGACATGTTTTACATGAGCCAGCAAACCACAGGTCCTACTTGATGAAATAATCTTAACTTCAACATGAATTTTAATTCTATGAACAACAACATCGCCTTCATTTAGACTAAAACATGTTTTGGAGAAAAAAAGAAGGCGACTTGCAGCACAACCAGTGTGTTTGTTTCTGACCACAACCAAAGTCTGGAAGCAGCCTCTGGGATGAGAGGCTAAATGTCTCCAACATATCCAGAAACGTCCAGCTGCTTTCAGCTACAACTCTCAGGATGATCACGTCCAGGATGACTGAGAACTACACCTCCATGCTGCAGCAGCATTCAGTCACAACAGGAAGTTAAACGTAGCTGCTGTCAGTAACAATCTAACAGATTTTAAACATTAAATCTCAACAGAAACAGTTCAGAAAGGAAATTAAAATGTTCACAACTTTGTGTGTGATTTATTATTATTATTATTATTATTATTATTGTAATTATTTATTGTGGCAGAAGCTGGTGTGGTCCACCACAGAGAAGCTGCTCTAGCATGATGACTTTAATTATTCTACAGGTTATTGTTCAGCCTTCTGACGCTCACACACACACACACACACACACACACACACACACACACACACACACACACACATACACACACACACACACACACACACACACACACACACCTGCTGACGCTCCGTGTGTGTTTTTATTTCTGCAGTGAGACAAACTCACCTCACACCGTCCAGAGTTTGTTCTTTAAAGCTTCTATTAAATCCACCGTGTTGACGTATTTAACACGTTTCCTCTACGCTGCAGGAGTTAACGTTTACATCACGGAGTAAAAGTTCGGCAGACGCGTTTGTTTATATCCGGGTGGGGGAGGGGGGACTCGGTGCTGCACACAGACAGCTGTGTGATCAGCTCCGAAAAGCGTTGATCACAATTTGCAGATCACGTTTATTTTTTACAGAGATCGGCTGCGAATTCCTCTTCCGGTCGGCATTCTAGGAATCAAAATAAAAAACGTTGAGCGGTTCCGGGAAAAATGAACAGTTGGAACCGGTTCCAATCGATGCTCGATGAGCTGCTGCTGCACACCCAGCTATCACCTTTATGTACTGTGGTGTGTGTTTCTGAGCCGTTCACCTGTACAGCTGTGTGCAGCTGAGGCATCTCTAATCCCGTGTAAGGTGTGGGTAGTTTCCACTTTTCTGGAAATCTTCTGGTCGTTGGGATCATCTTAAATCTTTTCTTTATGTTTGATGACAGAAACACATTGGACGGGGACAAGGACAGGGACAACAGGTGCAGAAAGAGCAAAAAAATAAATAAACATGAAGGTATATTTTGACCTTTCTGACGTGTGTTCCTGCGTAAAAGTTGCGTTTAAATCCTTGTGGATCGCTCACAGAGTGGCCTCTGTTCAGAGAAATAGTTTGTTTCTTTCAGGACTGATGAGCTAACGGCTAGCAGAGTCTTGGCCGTCTTCATGCAGCATCATTCTCCTCCTACAGGGTGTTTCATGTGTTGCTTTTATAGAAACCTTAGTAAGGACGTCACATTTAAATTGTAAATGCGGTTATTTTCACAGAAGTATTAAGAAATGCCTTCCTGGACCAAAGATGCACCAGAAAAACTGCAGTTCTAACGTCGGCGACGTTTACTAAACAGCAGGAAAATCTACGAAGAATCAAAGTGGTGAACAGAATAACGAAGCAGCAGGAAACATGCTGTAAATAAATGACATCATCATACCTTCTCAGTGGCCTCCCTGGGACTGGGCGATCAGGCTTCAAATCCCGGTCGGGTCGTACCAACTGGGGGCCCAACACCTCCCTGCTTGTCACTCAGCTTTAGGGTGTTGGATATGGGGGTTAAACCACCAAATAGTTCCCGAGCGCAGCCACTGCTGCAGCTCACTGCTGCAGCTCACCGCTCCCCACAGGGATGGGTCAGATGTAGCTTCACCAGTGTGTAGCGATAGGTACCGAATTCGGTACTTTTTAAGGTACCAACCGAATTCCATAGAACCGACTGAGCACCGATTCACGTCATTTGAAACGGTGCCTCGTTTCGGTACCCGTCCTCCATAACGAGAACTTGCCTAGACAGCTGCGCATGCGCAAGAGCGTTATGTCGTCGGTCGCTGCGAGCCAGTTGTAAACAGAGCAGCATGGTAGAAAGAACGCACGCTAACGCTTGGGTCCACTTCACTAAATGTGATGGGTAACTGGGTGATGATGAAACCAGCGACAGACAACGATCTAAGTGAGACATCCTCATCTTAATCTGCTCCGGTAGGTAAATAAACTGTTTAAGATAACGTTAGCTTGATATGTTAGCTTCTGATAATGGTGCGTTCGCTTTCTCCTCGGAACTCCGAATTTCCGACTACAAGAACATGAACGCGCTCTAAAGTTTGGCTTCACTTTACTAAATGTGACGGGTGATTGGGTGAAGATGAAACCAGCGACAACGATCTAAGTGTGAGGCATCGTTTTAATCTGCTCCAGCAGCTAAATAAACTGTTTAAGATAACGTTAGCTTGATATGTTAGCCTCCATTGCCACCATTGTTATCAGCTAACGGTGCGTTCGCTTTCTCCTCGGAAATTCTAACTTCCCAGTAGGAAAAATCAAAGAAGAAAGATGGCAAAAGGAATGAAGATACACAGTAAATTTAGTTCACAGTAAAGATGTTTGCTTCAGTTTAATTATCAGCTTATAAAACTACAAGGACGATGTTAAAATACAAACAGTTGAATGTTATTTATCGTGGTATTTATCAAATATGGTTATATATTGAGAAAAATATATATTTAATTATAAAAGAGAATTTAAATATTAAACACTCAAAAGTATCGAAAATTGGTACCGTTAAGTACCGGTATCGATTCATATTTCAAAGGTACCCATCCCTACCAGTGTGTGACCTGAATGCAGATAGGGTGACATGCCGACTCCTCCAGTGTTTCACCTGAGTCGGTCCAAACAACAGAATAACACCAAATAATAATAAATTAAATTAATAAAGAGAAAAATCTAATATTTAGTTAATTTGTTTATTTCTCTAAACAAAGAAGCACGTGTAAACACAACTTCTGTCCTTTACTTTAGTCCGAGTGATCTTTATTGGACAGAACCACCCGGCTCCAGTTCAGCTAATCTGTGTTTCACACATCATCAGGGCAGAAGTTGCTTTAATCAGGAGTCTGATCGGTAATGGAAGAGCAGAACATCAGTTTTCTAGCTGTGGTGACACCACCAGCATCACAAGAGTTTGTTTAGGATTTTCAGCTGCTGCTCTGCGGTGAGGGTCCCACGTCAGCTCCCCACCAGAACCTTCATGCTCCATTACAACACAGCTTCGCCCTCAGCGGGTGGTCCCACCTTTAGAGTCCACCCAACATCTGTGGCTTCTAGCACATGTGATACCTTCAGCTTCACTAATAAGGTTTATGATTTACGGATAACATGAAGGACAAATCTGTACGT